GCAGGTCGGATTCCCCTTGAAATCAATGAAACGAGGGTGTAGAAACACTACCGCTTTTGTCCACAGGGGCCGCCAGACTTAATACAAAATGAAAGTCCCTTTTAGGGCTTTAAACAAAGTAGGAGTTGGTGTAAACAAAGGCAACCTCTCTGTTTTAAATGGATTGATTTTGTCCCAAAGTTTCACTGGTTTAAATGGTTTAAATGGACCATTGACAGTATATATAGTGGACAGAGGTACTGGGTCTGTGAAGTGAAGCCAAAGCGGAATTCTATGTAATGGTAGGGCTGGGCGATAAGTCGATTTTATCGATTAATTAGAATTCATAGTTTTATTTATTGATTTATTTTTAGTTAAAATCGGTTTTCTCTTCCACAACACCGGCGCTCCCTTTGGGCTCCCGTAGATCAGAGTGTGCTGACCCCTCCCCCCGCCTCTCCACAGATTAACACAACATGGCAGCAAGCCAGGATGAGCTCGTCCCCAAAAAAGGCACAGTGTCGTCAGTTGTTTGGAACTGGTTTGGTTTTGTGGCGTCTGACAGCGAACAAACCACGACCCACTGCAAAGTTTGTTTGAAAGCTGTTGCAACCAAAGGTAGCAGTACGACCAATTTATTCCAGCACCTCAAGCAGAGGCATGCAGCCGAGTGGGAGAAATGTTTCTCTCTGCGAGATATACAGGACACCCACAAACACCCGCTAAAAAACAATCTACAAAAAAATCGATTAAAATCATAAAATCGGGTTTGGTGTGAAAAAATCTGAGATTTTATTTTTAAGCCATATCGCCCAACTCTATGTAATGGCCACCAGGAGGAGCTTCATTAGCTGCAGTAACCCACCTCACTTATTACTTATTAACTCAGTAAACAATTTCCAAATGAGTTTATGGCCTCAATCGCTAGTTTCAAATCTTTCAAGCAGGGTATGCTTTAGGGTGTGCCACCAAACTCAGATTAAACTGTCGAACTAGGCACTACTGATCAAATCTGAATCAAGATTCAGTTCCTGCGCTGCTGTTTCTCGCCTAAAGTCATTAAAAACATATTTTAGTGTACTGTTTATCTGTAATACGAGATTGTGTGTGACCAAGCAAGCAGCTCAACTTGCAGTACGTCACCTCCACTGGCTCCAACACACTGTCATGGCGCCGACCATAATGGCAAACTCGAGGATCACACTTTTTTGCGTTTAGACAAACAATGATGCCGCATGAAAGGAAGACAGTCCCCTCATTCTCTTCAATAAGCACAGGGCTCCGGCACCACACTGCCCAGTCACACACATGCAAGCGCACCAGTCCTGCTACGTTCCTTTGTAATATGAACTTCTGTTCACTGTGCAATTACCAACACAGAGGATGAAAAGACTGTTGTGATAACTTTAGAGAGTTGTAAAATCCTGTCTCATAGTAGCGTAAACTGCTGTGCACTGTTTTGTCATCTGATAAGCCTTCAAACTCATGGAGGATTCATTCAAACTGGACCTCCCAGGCCCCCCAACGATGCAGCTCCCTGCCTCTTTCTAAAGCTGTCCGAATACCTCCTTATTGGTCTGAATGGAACATGTTTCTGTCTGGTTTATCAAGTGTAGATAACCAAAAGTGAATCTGAATCTAAAAGGATAGAAATCACACTGTCCTGTCTCATTCCATTTTGGCTTCACAATGCTGCTGAATACTGCAACTGTACATCTGACGTACTTTTTCTACAGAATTCATTTTTCTGTCCTTATCAAATGTTCAAAGACACCATACCGCGGAGGAGAAAGTGAGGCCAGTGTTGAGGATTTGAAACAGCTTCTCCAGACTGCAGGTTGATCTGTGGGCGAGGGATTCTCCACAGTGGTTCAGCCGCTCATTTAGGAAGCTGCCTGAGATAATTTCCTGTCCAAGAAAAAGACAAATGCATCTTCTGGTGCTTAGGCCACTACTGGCTTTTTTCATTATCAAGCAGTCCTAGCTCTAAAAGAGCCTGTATCCTGCTCGCCTGTCTTGTAGGGCCGACAGTTTTATCTGAGTGCCCAGTGGGACCATTAACATTCTTTAAACAGAGAGCGGACGCATGTTTAGGGGTAATGGGTCAAAATAAATGTCCTTTAGATCAGTTGTAGTCATTATGCACTAGAAATCTTGTCGTAGCATTAAAAAAAAAAAACTCATTAGATGTTATTAAACTTCAGGTCAGAGGTCAGCTGTCCAGAAAGGCTGCGGGTAATTTGGGGAAGCAAGCTGAACCCTTACATGAAAGTCGATGCTTGGCAGGCATGTGCAGTCTTATGCAACAGCCATATCATATAGTATCTTTGAGTACAGGCCAAGTAACGTTCAGCTGGCTAAAAACCATCATTCAGGTCAGTGAGGTCCTTCAGTGGGGTGTGAGAGGAGCCCGGCAAAATGAGGCTCACCTTACAGCTACATGAAGCAACATCTTCATGTGAAAATACAACATTTTATCAGCTTAAAATTACACAGTGCGGTGTCAAGCATGTACACGTTTCCAAACAAAATAAATAAAAAGCTAAAAGAGTGAGTGAAAGCCCCATCGGAAGGAAAAGCCTACGTTAGATCTCTTTTCTCTCTGATGGTATAAAGCATCAGAGAGCGTCTCTGCAGTTAAAACACAAGCACACTGGGTGCAGTTTAACAGCAGTGTGTTACCGGATTTGAAGCTATTGAAGCTCACAACAGCGGAGAAAACACTCGCTCAGTGTGCGCACTTTCAAAATCACAAATTAATTAATTAGCAGGCAACATGCGAGACAAGTGCTTTCAACAGACACCCTGTTAGTGAGGTTATGGAGGTTCCCATTTTTGCAGTTAACCCTCGACTGCAGCTTAAGGTTGCTGCCAACGTACACATGGTGACGAAACCTAAAGGGCAACTTTCACGTCAATGTACAGTCACTGCCCCGGCATGAACTCAACACCAAGATGATTAATACTCTCTGGTTTGCATTGCACCAGAAGCCTGCTCAGTGTGAAGGTCTGTGGTTTACAGCGCATGCATGGGTTTGGTGATGTGCACACTATAAGATGTCTAGACGGCTATACTACAACTGGGCTAAATTTAGGTGAAAAGTCAGATTTTAGACGTCTAGGTTACGTGTTTCAATGACTGTATTTAAATATGAAAGGTTTCTGTGGGTTTCAACAGGTTCAATTTAAGAGTTTTTATGACCATTATGAAAGTAATTTTAGACCTATTTTACACCCACACTGGCAAAAAAAATTTAAAAATACCAAGGATAGGAAAATCTGTATTGTTTCCATGTCGGTTTAGTTTAGGAATGGTTACAGCATGATCAGTAAAAACTCCCCAAAACACATCCAAAAGAGGCTTAAAAATGCAACTTCATGCATGTAACGTTAACTTCATTAATCCACTCCACTTTTAAGACTAGTCAAAATCATATTTAAGACATTTAAAGCCTAAAATTCTGATTATTGGATTTTTCGAGACCCCACAGACACCCTGACATTTACTGAATGCAAACTCTGCACCCTGTAAAGTCATTTCTGTCTTTTACACCCTGTTTCATTAAAACAGGGGGAAATAGTTCTGAAAGAATATCTCAGCTGACAATTTGTATCTTATAAAAGGAAGAATAAAAACATGTTTAAAGAAAATGAAACTTGTAAGATCCCAAACATCCCTAACAGGGATCCACACATGCCTTCAGATACAGATGCTTTGAATGACAATTTGTGTCTGATGGCTCAGCAGCTCAATTACCTTGTTAAACATTATTCAAATTCCATCTACTCCTTCCCCCTCAGTGAAAACAATCCCGATTCTATGAATATGCAGATACATGTCATTTCAAAAAGTTCTACAGCTGGACACGAGAGGTTTCCATTCTCAGTGTTTGTGCACTGGGGGCTTCACACATCACATCACACATTACATATTGGGACCACAGTTGACTTTCAAACTTAGCCGGGCTGTCACAAAACTCGGGTTAAGTGAGAGCACAGCGAAACCTTCCCTCTTCAGCGGATGAACGTGAAAACAGCCTTCTAGTGTCAAAGTGAAGGGAGACTTTAAGGACTTAATTACAGACAGAAATGAGTTGACAAGACAGCGTAGCCCTTAGGATGTGGTTGAGGCGATGCTTATATACAGAGAGCCGGCTTCTCTACGACATTTAGCCCTGTTTAAACCCAGACACCTACATCTTTTGACCTGCCAATCACCCCCACCATGCTTCCTGTGCTGCAGGAATCCCTTGTGAGAGAAAAAGTTGAGGAAACCCCAGACTCCAGAGCCTGGTTGTGTTCTGGTCTGTCCATCACACAGGGACGTGTTAGTCACTGTGTGATGTGATGGGGATATTTTAGCTGCATCTTCCACCCCCCTAAGAAAACTGCACAGACTTGTTGGCTGCTCTCTGCATGCCTTTCCCCCCCCCACAATGTCACACAGGGCTTGCTGCAGCAGCAGTCTGGCGAGGGGCGACATCTACCCTGGAGAAAAAAAATTGCACCAACTTGATTTAATCTAAACCTCATGTAGATCCTCCACACAAACACACACACAAACACACACACACGCACGCACAGTGAACTTTGGACGGCAGGGGGAGAGGTTAGTCTAATGGTGGACCAGGAGGGCTTTTTTTCAAGAACATTCCAGCTCAATGGGAAAGAAGAATTGGTGTTTGGTTGAGAGGAACAACAGCATTTAAACAGGACGAGACAGGCGGAGAGGCGGCTGCCAGAGCCTCCTCTCCGGTACGGCTAACCGTGTGCAAAGCCGCCTCTACGATGCACGTTTCCCCTTAAAAAAACCCATCCCCGGTGTGCAACTGCAGGGCCCGGCGCCGCCATACACCAGCACATAGACACATAAAACAACACGTATAGCATGCCCCGTAGCACCAAGCGGAAAGAGACATGCGAAAAATGAGGAGGAGGGGGCGCAAACTGGGGCCGTAAACCGGCGGTAGACCCACCGAGGACGGGACATAAAGAGGACAAGTCTAGTTAGGCGAACTAACCTGTTTGGGAGGAGCAAGGTCCGCTGGATATTGGGCTGAATCCGAGTTAAATCCACTATCAGTAAAACAAAGAGGCGAAAATGACCGAGCGGCCGCGGAACAAGCCGAAACAGCACTCCTGGAGCGGTGCGCATGTGCGGGAAAAAGCGGAGGAGGAGGAGGAGGTGTGTGGTTTTTTTTGGGGGGAAGTGGACGAGCGAAGGGGGATGGGGTGTGAGAGTGCAACTAATTTTTAAAATTGATCCGCTGAGTGTGTCATTCATTATTCATTTTAAGGAAGTGGACCGAGCCGGTGGCTGTTTTTCACTGTGTGTGGGACACAAGAGTCCACATTACATGCTGCAAAGATTAAAGCTGTTAGTCCCTCTGTCTAAACAAGTAATAAACAGACCATCATTAATTAGTAAAGTCTATATGACAACCAAAATGAATTCACAGGAATGTTTAGAGGAGACAATTCCTACAGTGATTATAATTGTGACTCTTACTTATTAAAACATGAATGTCTGTGCCAAATGTAATAGCAATCCATTCAACGGTTGTTGAGATTTTTCACTTTGAACCAAGATATAATATTACAATACATACTGAGAGTTTTATTTTGTGTCCGCGGTCGAGAATGAACCTTCAATCTCAAACTTTAAAGGTCCGATCTGTAGGATTTAGCGGCATCTAGTGGTGTAGTTGCAGACTGCAGCTCACTAGCTTCACCCTCCCCTTCCAAGCGCTGGGGGAGGGGGAAACTACGGTGGCCATGAAATGCTCAAATTTAAAAACGCAGCTAGCCCTACTAAGAGCCAGTGCTTGGTTTGTCTGTTCTGGGCTGCTGTAGAAACATGGCGGTGTAAAATGGCGGCCTCTGCTGAATGTGACCCGCGGCCTCTGTAGATAAAAACTGCTCAGTAACAAAAACCCAACAATTTTTATTTCAGGTGATTGTATACTCATGAAAACATACCTATGAATATTATATTTAATATATTATATATAATGTATTATATTTATGACCTTTAACGGAGGATCTATTGGCGAGATTCACCAGTGTTGCAGCCACTGTATTTTCTCCCACACATTTGGAAGACTGAGCTGTATTCAGTTGGTTGCTAGCTGCCACTAAATCATACACACTGGTCCTTTATCCCCACATGGAGTCTTTAAAGCGCTCAGATTTAAACACTTGTAAACTGAGCAAACTCTATCTGCTGAGGAAGCTCATGTCATATGATCAAAAGCTCCAGAACACTTATTAAATGTCAATGGACCTTGTGGTGACACTGTCATGTCAATATATTATTCATGTGCCAATTGACCAAGGCAAATTCCTTTTATGTGAAAACCTACTTGGCAATAAACCCAGTTCTGATTCTGATTCTGGAAGCTGCTCTGAATACATTATAAAATACTAAAAGAAACAGGAACCTATCTATCAAATATAATGAAATACAATGAACACAGAAAAAATAAGTTTAAATGCGGAACAAAGGGTGGGAAGGTGGCGACACATCAATGACAGAGCAATAACCAGTTATTATTTATAAATTGCAAGCGATTAAAAAAGCCATAGAGAACGTTGCATCTGTGTTACAAAACTGCTGCAGGAAAGGACGGAGGATCACCAAAGTCAAAAGTCAATCTAATGTGAAAAAAAAGCACCTTGTGACGATGATGTTGAGATATTCCAGTCTGGACAAAAGTGGTCGACGTTGTGGTGTTGAAACAACACTTTGATAAACATAACAAATGTTGAAAAAGGTCATATTAGACTGCGTTAAAGCCTTAGATATTGCTGGTATGTTTTCCACCATGTGTAGAAAATATTTAGATAGATAGATAAATATATAGATAGATAGATAGATAGATAGATAGATAGATAGATAGATAGATAGATAGATAGATACTTTATTCATCCCCCAAGTTTAAAATTTAAGGAGGCATGCAAAGTACTACTAATAACAATAACAGGAGGCATGCAAAAGAACCAATAAAATCAATAGCAAAATACATTTAAACTCAGATGCAGATGCAATATTACAGTCACTGTTATTCTAGATGTTCTATATTTGACACTTTTAAATGAGCTTCATTTGTAATTTGTTGCATTGTGAAATGGTACAAAAGAAAGACATGAAAATTTGCACACCGACATAAGTTGCCACCATCCAACCCAGTATTGGATAGAAAATAGCACATTGTCCTTTAAATATAGTTGATTTCAAATCATAAACCTAAAAATCACGACTTCAAACGTCCCCTGCGAACTTTGAACTTACTTTCTACAGCATTTTTCACCAATGGAAGGAGCTGTAAGCACCAGCAGTGTGATTTCTACTTGTAGACGATACAAAAGTAACGGATCCCACCAGGCTGATGGCCAGAAATGTTATATTTGGAAGAAGCATTGAATTGATTATGTTTAAGTATAGGGAATGAAGTTGAAAATGGCTATGGTTAAGATCAGGGATGGCTGGGGTTAGGTAAGGATTTGGTGTGGTTATGGTTAGGGTGAGAGTGTGGGTGGGATTCTGGTCTCTGCCCAGAACTGCGGTGGGACATTAGGGACATGTAGTTGAACTATTGTCATGACATATGGCACGCTGACTGGAAATAATGATGGAGAAACACATTTACCAAAATCCATGTTTTTAGCACGACCACAGGCCGACATCTGCTAACCCCCAGAGGTTTTAAATCTGTAACAGTCCCATCTGTGATTCAAACAGGCAGCCACGTATTTGTACAGGATGTAGAGTAACTCAATTAAAACCTTCCGGGGCTGTGGTCAACACTGATTTAATCAAGTCAGAGTCCCTTGCAAGAAGCCGGTAAGCTTAGTATGAAGAAGCTACAAGTGACTTTTAGATAAGTGATTTTAAAGTGCACTGATCAGCCTATAAAATGCCTCCGACACAACACATTAATCAGCACAGCTTCATTTAAAACTACCTCTCAGTCAGGGTATCAAATGGTAGCATGCTTCGATATACTGAAGCGTTTCAGATATTTCCCTCAATAGTAATGTTGACTATATCAGATATGCTATTTGGGATATTTTCTTAAAAATCTTACAGAAGTTAAAGTTATATGTAAGGATATATTATAATAGTAATAATAAACTTTATTTATAAAGCACCTTTCCAAACCAGAGTTTCGAAGTTAAAGTTGATCCTTTGAGCAATAAATATCTGTGGGTTCCCTATGAACTGAGGGAATGTTTGTGAGCTGTGTGATAACCAGCCTGTGGTGGTGTAAGGTACTTGTACTTCATGTGAGTATTTTGAGGATTTGCTTCTTTTCCTTTACACAAATGAATTCATTTTGAATGTATTTGTAATCATTCTGTGGTTTGGACTGTTGGTTGGATGAAACAAGCATTGTGAAGGTGTCCCTTTGGGTTCTGGGTAATTGTGACGGCATTTGTCACTATTTTTAGAATTTTTACAAACCAAACAATCGATCGATTAATTAAGAAAATAATCAGATGAATCCATAATGAAAATAGTCATTAGCTGCAGTCTTATACAAAATAGTCATAACATTGTGAGCACTGACAGGTGACGTGAATAACACTGATTATCTGGTTATCATGGCTCCTGTCAGTGGGTGGGATATATCAGGCAGCAAGTGAACATTTTGTCCTCAGAGTTGATGTTAGGAGCAGGAAAAATGGGCAGCGTGAGGGTTTGAGCGACTTTGACAAGGAGCCAAATTGTGATGGTTAGACAACTGGGTCAGAGCATTGTAAGCACTGAGTCTGCTTCAAACAATAATGTGTGTCTTGTGTTTGTATGTGAAAAAAAAAAAAAAAAAATTCCACATTGAAAACATCTACTCCTTCTACCTCATTCTACCTCATTAAAAACGACAGAATCTATGAATATGCAGATTTAGTTAATTCCTTAAGTTTTCCTGCCGGACACAAGATGTCTCCTACTTCATTAAGTTCAAGTTTCGGCATCACACTGTAGAAGTTGTACATCCGAAACTAACCAGAATTAACACTTCCTGGCCCCAATATAAACAGGAATGGACTTTTTGTACATCAGTGGTTCCCATCCTTTTTCCTTAAGTGACCTCTTTTCTATCATTGAGTAAACCGATGACCCCTGACTACATGACTTACTTTATGGCTATGTCATATTATATTCACTGCATAACAATAACAGTAGAGGACAACAGATAAACTGTACAATGAACCCAAACAGTGAACACAAGAACTGCAGGAAGTTTGTGTAAAACCAAGTGATTTGGGTACATTTTTATTATTAAATATTGCATCAGAGGTGAGTAGCAAAACTACAACATTTTGTGTATGCCTTTAAGACGAAAGCTTTAAACATACACAAAAGAACTTACACAGGTAATCACATAAACTGTTTGTAGATTTTGATAAGTAAGCATAAAGTGGAGCCGGGATTCAGCTGTGGCGATTTCAATTTGTATCACTTTCTTTTCTTCTTCCTTGAGAAGCAAAACTATACAGAAGACTGATTAGGAGGCTGTCACAAAGGGTGGAGGCTGTGTTGAAGAAGTGAAGATCTCTCACTCTGTTCATATTACCTGTTACAAGAAAGAAAAACCACCAAAAGGAGGAAAAAGCAATCTTAAGCTTTATACTGAAGAACAAGAAGAAACACACCAGATCAACACAAATATTTTGCCAGGTCCAGGCACATTAGGCATAACAGTTACAAGTTTATTTTTATACTAATATATAAAATGCTTTTAGACATTTGTAACCACTAGAGATGATCAAAACCACCTGGGAGAATTAATAACATTTCAGATAAATTATGGAAGAGCACTCTGAGGCACATAAAGTCAGTATAGCAGGGATTATTTGCCACAATAATCTGTGCAGAATGATTTTTGAGTCACAGCACACTACTCACTCTGGGATATTGTGCTTAATACCCATGTTTTAAAGGTCCAGTGTGTAGGACTTAGTGGCATCTGGCGGTGTAGTTGCAGATCGCAAATCTAATCATAAAAACACAAAAAGCAACTTTACAAGTTTGACCCTGTAGATGGATAATATATTTAGAGGGACTATCTTGACAAAATGGTGAGGATCAATACAGCATCTCATGCAGGACGGTGAAGGGAATGGGTTGCTTCTTCCTTTTCTTTTCTGATTCATTTGCTTCACTCCACTTAAGATCTTTTCCCCCACAAAATCTTTTCAGAGCCACAGAGTGAACAGTAAGCCAAACAGTAAGTCTGTATCATAGTAACTGACTGTTTTACTTCTGCTGCATAACTGTGGAATATTGTGATAAAGCACAACAATGTGGCATAAGGGGGTTACATACCTGCCTGGTTGTATCACTGTTAGCAGACTGTCCAGCTGCACAAACTATCTGCAGCTTAATAAATCCTTTCAGTCAGAGTGAGATATTGTCTGTATGTCTGTCTTTGATCTCCCAGGTGGACATACTGGACCAGAAACTGTTCACACTCTTCTGGCACTGACGCATAAGCTGATGAGATGTTGTTAAAACAATGACATTTATTTTATTTTTGCAGTTTGACTTGAAGTGATGACAATTTAGGTATTTATTTTACTAGTGTGTTGGTCATATGAAGTCAAATAGTTGCCTAGACTGTTTACATCTAGGTACATTGTGTCAGCATTGATAGTTTGTCAATTTGGCCAATGTTAAAAGGTTTGACTGTTAATAATTGTAGACAACGACATCTGTATATACATATATCTTACACTTGGTTTGACAATGTAAACCTCTGGTTCCCACACCAATAAAGCCTCTTTGAATTGAATTGAATTGAATTGTATCCAGGGCCGTTTATTTCAAAGACGGAGTGGTTCCTCCTCTCTAGTCTAGATGAAGATCTTTGTACAGTACACTCCCGGCTCAGCCGAAACCACTGACAGCAACATGAAGGCGTGTTTACTCATTTATTCCAGCAGTAAAACATCTTTCCCGGCGTCCATTTATGACCTTCAACGACTTAACAATTAACCTAAAGACGACACAATGGATTTAACGTTACTGTTTTGTATTTTAATGTTGTAATGTTTTCACCGACCCAGCGACCGCGGACATAAACTTTGCAATGCACCGAACAGTTGCACAGCGTTAGCTAACGTCACTAGCTGAACTAAGTAGCTGAACCGAGCGGCGGTAAACCGGTGAACATCAGTGATACTCATGGAGGAGGGTGGAGGAGCCCGCCACCAGGTTCCCACCGTCTGCTCTAACGTTGATGCTCCGGCCACACCGAACACAGAGCTGAAGAAACTGCTGGACTTTAAAGTTTACAAGAGGAGATGGTTTATACTGCTGGTGCTGTGTCTGTTGAACTGCTCCAACGCCATGGTAAGTTACCGCAGTGTCTAACGTTACCTGAGGAGAGTAACGAAGTAACGTTACTCTCCTCAGGTCCACACAGCTTTCCTCATTCCTGTGAGAGCAACTTGCTGTGGTCATAAAAATCAGATGCTTTAATGGAAGTTAAATATAATAATCTTTCTCTAAAAAAAACACCTCGAAACAGAAGATAGGAAACACAAGAACTTTATAGTACGGAAGCTCATTTGTGCCCAACAAATAAATAAATAAATAAATAAAATAACTATACAGTGATGGTAAGTACTCACATCCTTTACTTTAGTAACAGTACGAGTGTAAAATCACTGTTACCAGTGAAACATCCTGCATTCACAACCTTACAGTACATATAAGCAGGCGTGGGTAGTAATGGATTACATGTAACTAGGATACAATAAAGGTAGCTAACGTTAGTCAATTAGAGTTACAGAAAAATGCACAACATCAGCACCCTGAATGGAATTAAACCTTATTTAGTATCATTGGAAACCTGTGTTTACCTGAGGATTTCATGCCAAAAATGGCGGCTGTGAAAAATGACCTATTATTACCAGTGCATTATAATCAGAGATGCATTAATGTGTAAGCATCACTGATGTTGCAGCTTGTAAAGGTGCTGCTGATTACAGTCAGTTTACATACAGCCAGGTTGCTTAATCCAGACTAAAACATCATTGCTGAGAGACACAGTTTCCAACTTGGCAACTTCCTTACTACATTAAGTGACTTTTCAGACCCTCTTGGTTATTTCTAAAAAGCAACTAGTGATAAATTTAGTGATTTATTCAGACAACCATGGAAAAGGCAAGAAATATATTCAAATATATTATATTAGTATAAATAGTAATTCCCAACGCTGATCAGAGTAATCACAGTCCAGGGGTCTTCTGCATACAGCGCCAGGGTCTGTCCCTCACCTCCTTTCAGCTTCTCTCTCTCTCTCTTTAGTTTGTAAATATGTAATTAGTTAGTTTGACCTTCTCTCACTCTCTCACTTTTTCTCTCTCAGGATCTCTGGATTAGAGTGTTCCTATAGTTTAGCTTATATGTAAATAGTTGGTGTGATCTTCTCCCTCCCTTTGTAGATTTTTAAAAACATATTTACTTAAAATATACGACGTCACTTAGGGCTGTGTATCCAATATATTATGATACTGAACTGAATTTGTGTTTATCAGTAAGATCCAACATTATAACCCTCATTTTATATTTACAACACTGCTATCTATCGGGGGTTTAAACACAAAAATCAATATACTGATTTTGAGAATCAATACAATATCACATAACAAAATATTTGACATTCGATATTTTTGTTTGTGATTACTTGGCTAAATAATAAAATTCTAAAAGTGTTTGTCTGTAAATTTCGATTGCTGTACACCAACAGTTTGCAGTTGCACTGCAGTTTGAAATAAATGCTAATTTTGAATAATGTTACAGTCACCCTTACAAAATAGGTACTGTAGTTGGACAACTTCCACAACGTGTTCACGGAAGCACAAAGTGCTCTTCACAGCTGTGAACAGGGCCAAGTGAAATGGTCCAAGGTGTAATCTGCCTGGTCACAGCAAGTATTATTGTATTGGTATCATTGTAAGTATTATTGTATCATCAACGGACACAGTGATCATTTCTGAGGACAAAATTATTGTTACTCTGAGCTAGGGCAAAATTATGATTAGATTTTGACCTTGTGTCACATCATTTTGACTTACTGAGTGAAATCTTTTTAGATTTAGTATCTTTTGATTTTGACCAACCATTAATATTTTCACTTTTGTAATCCATGACATTTTATTTTAATTTCCCTTTTTGCTTTTTCTGACTAAAAAGGGCTTCCATACTACAGTGCGGTTGACCCACTGCACACACCATTGTATGCTTATAGCATTTGAAAGAGTATTTATCAGTACAACAAATAAATCATTAATAGTCAGATAATGGAGTCACACCTTTATCTCTTGATGCACTAGGCACACTGATGCCACATTTTACAGCAGAAACATTAGCTGTAATTTTAATTTCTCCCTTTAACTGACAGCTTGTTGTTCTTTTTTTTTTGGATATGTGAAATTCTTTGACCTTTTTCTCGTGTTAAAAAGCAGATGTGGTTGTGAACATTGCGGGTGAAGGACATGTGGTGCCCCTTTTATGTTTGCTGGAACTTGATATAATTCCCCAGGGCTGTGGTCATTGTAAAGCAGAGTGTGCCTGGAGGCAAGTGTGCCTGTCTCAGTCAAGCAAGCTGAGCCCCTCCCCTCACCCATTCCCTGCTCTCACGGGACTCGTTCTCTCTATGCGAGCTATTGTTTCCATGTGGCTGGTGTTCCCACTCACAAAGGATGCTCAGCTGGCGGAGAGTCATTCATGATGTGGCAAATAGCAGCTGATGAGCCTGTTAGACATCAATCTGCCTGACATTAGCGGCACTACTCAGGGATCAGGGCGTGATTTACCAAAAACCTGTGGTGTTGCCTTGTAAATTGATTTAGGATGAAATTTGATAACCGTACTAGTGTTCAACCACAGAAAGTGTCTTATAAAACTGCATTGACAACATGAAACAGCAGATTTTTATATGGAAGTAATAAAAATACAATTCTTGAGGTGCAGAATGCCAATCGAGCTACTTCCTATCAGGGTTAGGTATCCAACATGATCAATACTTTTTGAGTATCAAAACTTCTAAAAGCTGGCATTAGATGCTTGATTGCTTATTTTCTGATTTTAATAACAATCTTACTCATTTTAGACTGTATTTCATTTATACACAGTTATTGCGTGGTTACTTTGTGATAAGAAGTTTGGCTTTATTTTTTATTTGTTTAGGAATGCACAATATTGGATTTGGGCTGATTGTCGACGCCGATATATGCACATATTTTCTGAATCTAATTGCAGAGAGCATCAAGTATATCTTGTACAGGAGTTAACATATTACTATGCCGGCTCTTGTCATTATGGCCCACTGGCAGATGCAGAAAAATAAACGCACACATTCACATTTAAACTGTTCTGTATTCAGCCTACTTTAACAGGCTTGGACTCCCTGAGACAACCAGCTAATTGAACCTATTTCACAAGTTGCAAAACAAGTAAATGTAATCTCTGTCCACAGGGATCCTGTGAAAGTAAGAGCATTTTACTGTACAGCAATTAATGCCAACTAAAAGAAAACTGTTAGACATAGTGTACTCTCTTCACACTGTTGCAGGCTACTTGCTTTACAGACTGTTGCTTTAACTCAATAATATATAAACAGAATAAATGAATTCATACATAGAATGACAGCTTGCATCTCAGGTAAGACCACACATGAACAATACCTGCGACTGGGCATCATGTTGCGTGTGGCTCAACATAGTTGACAAATCCAGACATCTTCAACAAAGGAAAACAGCTGGTTGTCCTGAGCAATACACTCAGTCAGTTTGTGATTGACGCCTCTGGCCCCCGGGGTGGTTGCGGTCATATTGTTTGACTTTGTTTATGGACTTGGGAAGAGGCCGCTGACAGGTGTTTTTCGCTGGTGCCGGTTTCTCATTCTCTTCACAAATTTGTCAGTATGATCTGAGGACAGCTCTTAATATGGGTAATAACATGTGTAATGTTGAAGGAATGACCAACACTGAGCATTCGTTGCAAATAGCATCTTTACTCTGTTTCGTAAACTTTAAAAGAAGAGATGGGAGGGGCCCACAATATGCTTATTAGCTACAAATGAAAATAACCACAAATCAAAATGATCCAGATTATTTTGTATTGTTTTAGTGTTGATTTGTTTTATGAAGATTTGTTTTTTTTTAACAAATCGTGACTAAGATCCCTTCTTTTTACAGTGTAAAAATAGGCCTGTCAGGGCTGCGGTGGATGCAGTGGTGACTGTGAAGGAATTTTCTAACTTCAGAACAGATGCATACAGGAACACACATGCATACAGGGATGACCGAGTCTAAGAGGTCACATATGGTAGACAGTCAGGTCCTCTAGGGGCCACAATCGGGTTGAATTCTGGGTTTCTGGGATTATTGTTTATGCCGACACGGTAGAATTATGACCCAGTGTCAGGCTGTCTCTGCTTTTACAAGTAGTGATTTAGAATGAGTTAGGTAAGTGTAGAACTGGTCTTGAACCCTGCCCAGTTAGGTCTTTGCACACTGCGTAAGTTATGACCATATTTGGCGCTCTAGTAGTTCTTGTGGGTCTGGATTTGTGTTAAATATCCCTTGACAGCTAATAGATAACCTGAAATCTTCTTTGAGTATGAGTGATTCTTCTTCGTCCAAGTTTTCCATCACAGTGACAATGTTTCTAAATGATCTCAAACCTAGTCTGGCACATCTCAACTGCCATTTCTTGCTCTCTGTCTGCTGACATATACACCGATACCAATATATCTGCAATGAGCTAATATTATGTATATGATATTTACAGGGATTCACTTGACTAGACTGATGCAGTCTGTATTTTACAGGCATGCAAAACATATCTGCAATATGGCAAAATAAACGGATGTTTTGTTCATATGAATTGAAGTAATCTGTGCGTTTTGGAACTGCTTAAAGGTGTCTGCGTCTGCAGGAAGCATTATAGTTTGAGTGCAATGTCAAACTCCAACAGTGGGAACTTGAGACATTGTGGTATTGTAACGAAACAATATTGTAAAGTTGCAAGCCAAGATGCATTCATGTTTTGACAAAAGCAGACCCGAGGTGTGGTCACTGGACAGTCAGACAACCTCCTCCTGTTGACAGTTAAACTTATCCTTTGCAAACAGAACAGGTGTTATAACAAGAAAAGGAGGAATGTGTGAAAATGTAAGATTCCTGTCTCACAAGCATTTTCCCATATAGGGGACAGGACTGACATTGTGTCCAGATGAGCTGACCAGGGTACTGTACATCAAGCAGCTGCCTTGACTTAGGTTTTGTACTGGTGCTGCCTTTGTGGTCTCATTGTTAGCTTTACAGGTCAGATCCATTCAGTTGATTCAGTCGCTCTGTGCTTCAGTGCTGCATCCTGCATTTCCCCCCTATTTTCACTGTTTGGATCTGTTTCATGTACTATTGTCAGATCACAGTGAACATTTCAGCAAATATTGCAAAAAGATAGTTTTATAAAGTTACCTTCTGCAGCTCTAAGTCTCAGTCTTAGTTAGACTTTGGATACAAGGATTCACTGCTACTAATAATGTGTCCTTTTATGACTGTGCACTGCTGTCATACAGATACTTTTCTCATTTGATCTTTTTCTCATGCACATGCACACGTTAAAAAAAGTTAAGACACCCAGTTATGTGTATACATGGCCAAGAAATGAGGTTTTCCCTGCAGGAATGTAGCCGTGTTAACTTGTTCCTCCACTCTGACCCAATAACAGAAACCAAGCTTCTTGTTTGTTGATGTTAAAGAGATAAAGTTACAGTGGCAAGCAGGGTAACCTGGTTACTTGCTTGCTTACTTTTGTGGCTGTTCCCCCATGTGAAAGACCACATTCATATCATCCATTGCATGCTGGGAAAGGCTGCACCTCCCGAGACCCCTAAAAGAAGAACAAAAATGGATTTGTTGTCAGTTCACATTCTGGGTAGCTGGGGGAAGTCTGGACAGCACACGGAGAGTGCATGAGAGATGCTGTCACCTTGCAACCTTGAAACCAATCCTAATGCTGTGTGGTTATTCTGAATCTGAATCCGGGTAGTTTAATCTATAACAATGATAATAAACTGATCATATGTTTTATGAATCGAATCCTAATCTGAAATGTAGTGAGTAACAATAGCTGTGAAATAAATGTCTAGTAAAAGGTACAGTAATTCCTTTTAAAATCTAGTGAAATGGAAGTATTAAGTATCATAAAGTGAAAATACTGCATGAAAATGTCCTGTTGTACCTTCACTGGCAGAACAGTGTGTGTGTGTTAAGTGGTGTCATATGAGAGCAGAACGAGACGGGATACAGGAACCATTTCTTGCTCACATGAGCTGAGCAAGTCTTTTTTCATGTGTCAGGATCACATGACTATAAGATGTGTGTGGAAATCTGATCATTAAAATGCATAGGGAAACTGGGTTTGAAGGACTGACCACTCTTTTATCACATGTTAACATACTCAATATGAGGAATCTTAAAATGACAGTACATGTCCAAAAAGTGGAGCAGACTAATTTAACACCATGAGGTATGCTCATTGCTGCTGAGACGATCCTGTAATACATTATTTGATCCAATAAATGAACATCTGTGGCACAAATCACATCAAATAATTAGCTAATTCTGTAAGTTTGACATTTTTATGCAGAGTCGGGTTAGGACAACTGAAAATGCTGACTGGGCTCAACTGGAACCTTTACACACTGCAGATAATAAAAGGACATTCAGGAAGCCGTCCTTTCTGGTTGGGTCAAAATTAAGGATGTCCCGGAGACAATAAAAATAGCACCCGGGACAAAAAGATACAGTGTCAGGGACAGTTTTGGGACAGTAGAAACTTGTGATTACATTGATTCGTCATGGAATATATATCATTTTAATGTTAAATTGTTGTTTTTATGTTCATAATGGAAAGTGTGAGGTGACTCTGGCACGAGCTCTACACACACAGAATCAGTTATAGAGAAAGACCAGTGTTGCCAACTTGGTGACCCTCTCTAGACCCTCTTAGCGACTTTATTTCTACTTTATTTTCTCCTCTCTTCTTGCATTGTGCACAGGCAGCCAGTAGGTGTGGTGTGTGGGGCACGTTTGACCTTCTCTCTCACTCTTTCTCTCCGGATCTCTGGATTAAGGGTGTTCCTTTATGGTTTGTAAATATGTAAACATTTAAATAGTTTGTTTGATCTTCTCTCTTGCTCTTTCTCTCTGTATCTCTGGATAAACAATAAACAAGTTACAGTAATGCAACCAGTGACTAGCAGTAGAGCTGTGCGATGAATCAATGAATTCAAATGTTTGTTTTAAAACGCTCTCTCAGTAGATAAAAAACGGTTCATTCTACGGTATCAAAAACACAACAATGCTTATTTTCAGGTGATTATACACTAATGAAAACATACCTATGAATATTATATTCCATTTCTGCCAATAGAGCCAACTAAATGTTACACACTGCAGCTTTAAACTCTGCATGTTGTAATGTGGGCATAAACAGCTGCTGATGACTGCTGTAAACAAGCAACAATCCACTCAAGTCACTCACAAAATGTGGGGGTGTTTCACATCACCAAAGGTATGGTGTCTGTGGTAGTTTGTTTATAAGAAAGAAATCGGATATGGTGGGATTTTGTCTGTAGGCCACATCATCCAGCTCTGACTGAAGGAATAATGAAAACTGATTGTGGCCAAACAACTGATGATTTCAATTTTTTATTCAAATATAAGTGTGCGGAACAACCAGCAGGACTTCTATGGCGAACCCGAGTGAGTCAATGAAGTGATGAAAAAGAGTTATTAAAGTATATTCATTATGTAGAATAAAAACACCTTCAATGGGACAATGGTTTTATAGTGTGGGACAGATGAAAGCAGAATCCAGGACAGTTGTGGGACACTGGTTTGGGTTCAGTCAATGCAGCTGGGATGTGGAGTATCAGACAGTGCAGTACTTTTAAACATTTTAAATGCAGTGTGAAAACATGGTTGGGAGGACAGTCAGGGCTGTAATCATTGATACTGATGCCAAAGGGTTCTGATTGCCTACTGATCTTCTATCTCTGTAACCTGTGTGCATCACTAGTGGCCTCTGTCATATATTGGGCATTGTCCCTGCAAAATAAACGTTACATAAATAAATAAAAACATTTTAAAACTGTGTCAGACAGAGCGACCATGTGTTGAACAATCCACAGATTTTAAGATCTGACCATTTATGTTCAAAGCACAGGCAGATCTGACCAGTAGCTACAGTGCAGACCCTTTTAAGGCGGCTGTGGCTCAGTAGGTAGAACGTGTTGTCCACTAGTCACAGGGTTGGTAGTTCACTTTTCCTTTTGAGATATTTATTGTCTTTTATGTCTATATATAAAGCACATTGTAGGACTTCCTAGACTGAGCTTCCTGCAGGATGCTGATGAAGCTAAAGCAAGTTAAAAGTGTCATGTATTTCATATCTAAAGCTGCCTTCCCAAATAATAGTAGTTAATTGTTATAGAAAATTGGTGTTGTATACAGTCTTCTGTCTCAGGCTTTGGGAACTGATCCAGTCCTCAAGGTTTATTTCTCAGGACTGAAGATTAACTTTAGCAATATTTGATCATGAGCTTTATCTTCATAAATGAATGTCCCTCATCATGTTGAATAAATCTCTTTGTGTGTCTTCTCAGATATGGCTGACCTTTGCACCAGTAGCGGACAAGTCTGCCAAGTTTCTGAAGGTATCTCTGTCGGAAGTAAACTGGTTGTCACTGGTCTTCATGGTGGTGGCCATACCGTTCAGCTTTGTGACCACGTGGATGGTGGACACCATCGGCCTACGGACCTCGGTACAAACCTCACTCTGAAACCGTTGCACTTGATACAATATAATGCACCTACGTTTTGCAGGAAATGAGTTGATGGGATAATAGAGGGGTAGAGTATAGATTACTTCTGGAATCTGTTACAGCCTTTTGACCTTTCACCCTCCTGCTGTCTTGACGTTGCAGCTGATTCTGGGATCCTGGCTGAACATGTTTGGAGCCCTGGTGCGCTTCGGTGGGTCGATGCTTAGCCAGGAATCTGCAGTGTACCCTGTAGTGATGCTGGGCCAGACCCTTGGTGCCCTGGCTCAGCCACTCATCTTTTTCACCCCCACCAAGCTGGCAGCTCTCTGGTTTCCTGACCACCAGCGCGCCACAGCTAACATGATCGCCTCAATGTGTGAGTGATTTACTGTTTATTACTGAGAGCTGGATGTGAATTAGAAGTTACCAATGCAAGCATACAGTCTGAAAGGCTTTCTACTGGGTATTGATCATATGTTGTTTCGACCAAAACAACTTTGTATATTGTTACACCGTCTGGGTGAATACTCCATTCTGATTGGCTGCTAGGTATCCATTAATTCCTGATGTAGGACACCTAGCTCGTAGTTCCCGTGTTTACCGTTCTAAATGAATGCTCTGAAATAAACTGATTGAAAACAAATTCTGAATATCTCCTATATAAATAAATGTTACAGCAGTGAGTGCAGTCCTTCAGTGGCTCATCCTCTGATTGTAACACACAACCCCCACACTGCCCCTCTGAACTTACTCCTACTTTGTAGAAGCTATCCTCACACATCCCGTCCCATACACAGTCTTATTGACTTTGAATGTTGCAAGCCTAACGTTAGCTCTCTGTCTCGTAGCTGAGAGTGGAGGGATCTAGAAATATCTCCTGGTCCAAGTCGTATCTAAGGTTGGTCCTATTTACTGAAGTACTGAACAACGTTTCTGTTGCATGAGAACCTTATGGGATGGTAATGAAAGGACCTCAGGTGTTGCCAGGGAAACGAGTTATGGCTTGGTGAAATACTCAACTTAATTTCTCTTCTTTGAGAAGTGACCATGGTATTAGTGGGATAATGCCCTTCAAGGTGGCCATTAATGGACACCTGCTTTACTATATACTATATACTATATATGTAAGGACTGTGGGTTTCTTACATACAATTATTTTGCCCCCCAGTCATTATTTAATGAATAATACTCTGACCAAATTTAACTGTACAATGTGTAAATATGTTTGGATTTAGAATTCCCAAACAAATAGTTAAAGTTTAATAAAGTTAAATGACAAATAAATTAATTATCACCTTTATTTCAACCTCCAGGTACATCTCTGATGATTCCATCAGCAACATCTTTAGAGCGCAGAGCAATTAGATGAAAGTAACAACCTTATAATTATGGACCAGCTGTCGGCCAAATGCCTGTGCATTCTGACCATAGCTGGTAAATGTGTCTAATCTGTCATCTATATTAGCAGGTGGTGAGCTGTCCTTTGAAGGTCGGAAGCTGTTTTAAATATCTAGTTGAAGATAAAAAATCTTTTTGTGGCATGTCCATGATCAGAAGTCCTTCCCTTTTATGAAACAATATATTTGGCAAGTGGAATTATGACAAGTAGAAATACACCCAAACACCGTGTAGACTGAATGCTTTTGTCAAAAAGAAAAAAGGAATGTGCTTGAAATGTTTTATTATTCCTATTATTCAGCCCTTGCAGAGAAAAGAAGATATGCTTGTAACGTTGGATTTCAATGTTCACATTGTCACAACACACAATACCAATTAACTTTAATAACTATAAAAATAATAACTTTCATTCAAAAAAAGGTTCTTTTTATTTATTTTCACATGTTTAATTATGTTCTGTGTCAGAGCTGGTGCCTTATGTCACGCTGGCCCAGTTTTTGCGCTTTGTAACAAATGTAAGTAGGAAGTGGGTCAGTTGCAGTGTGTGCTGTAAAGTGTGTTTTTACATGTCAGCAAACTTTTAATGTGTACACAGTAAAATGAAGGAGGAGGTGTCCACAGATAAATAACCAGTGTAAAACTATTTCTTTTAATTGACATTTTTATACTTACAGATAGATTAATATGATATGATTTCTTGAAGATACAGTTTTCATATATTCCATGTTGTCGCCACTAAAAAACAGGAAGTGTACTTAGACTGCATTGATTCTTAACATAGAACAGAAACCACAATAACCCTGAATAACACTTTTTAACTCTTTTCCCTCCTCAGCCAATCCTCTGGGACTCCTCCTCGATAACCTGATCTCTCCCCTGGTGGCTAAAACACCTGCACAAATCCCAGTCCTGGTGAGTTGGAATCAGAAAAAAGAAAATCTGTGTTTAAAAAAAAGGATGAACCAGAGCTAAAGGAAGAGGGAATATTGGACACAAACCCCACTAAAAATAATGCTGTTGTTGCTCCTGTTAAATAGGCAACTGTTACTAACCAACTAACAAGTAGAGCCGATATATCGGTCAGGCAATATTATCAGGAAATATTATCAGTCTATTTTCAATTTAGAAATGTATTCTATCGGCCGCCATATCGGTAATCTGTGAATGTATCCCCTCTAAAACTGTTATTGGCCTCAGAAGTCTGATATTGGTTGGGCTCTAGAAGTTGAAAATATATATTAGGACAATGTTTTTCTGCCCTCAAGTAGTTAACAGAGTCAATTCTTCCAGTGACCAACTGCTGCTGAACAATTAATGCAAAAATGTCAACATGTGCAGCACATTTTTATTTTCTCTCTGTCTACTGTGAACTGTCCAATAAAGGCAAAACTGTCTAAAAAAACTAAATCACTTGGCCTAGAATGAAAGGATTTCCACAGGGCATTGTGGGATTGCAGCTGCTAATACAGAATACTGCAACAGCTGAACTGTGTGCGTCTATGGCTGCGGCCACCACACCTGCTAATGATGATAAATTGTCTTTGATTTAAGGTGCTAACATCCATTTATCATCAAATTATGTGTGTCTTCCCTCCTCCAGCTGCTTGTCTATGCGGCCCCAACGTGCATCATCTGTTTCCTAGCAACAGTGGGAATACGGAGCAGTTCCCCCCCCACGCCGCCGTCGGCGAGTGCTGAGACCTCTGAGCCGTTCTTACAGGGGCTCAAACTGGTAAGGACCCAGGAGGGTAGAGCATACAAAGCTGCAGGAAGAGGCAACATAGTACAGGCATCAATGATAGATTCTACCTACGTTTGTGAGGCAGACTCTGGTTGGACATTCTGTTAAACCTCTAACTCAGAATCTAACTTGAAGCTGCAGTTGCATTTATCCATTTATTTATTTAGTCCAAACCATAAACAAACAGAGGAGGAACATTACATGCCCCTCTTTTACCGAAGTACCAGACCCACAACCCTGTAAAGGATAAGCCATTATAGATATTGGATGGATGGAAAGAAATGCATCTAAATGAACTGGTAAGGACCTCAACTTCAAATATCTTTTGAGGACCTTTAAAAATGGCAAAGGCAAAAACACTCCAAAATAAATTTTTCACATGCTTTAAAACAACGTCCCTGCTTAAAATTTAAAACTTTTTGAATATTCAAAATATCCACAGATCCCAGTGCAAAGTGTCCTATAGTTCAGTCAGAAGTAACTAATCCTTGTTGACAAATGGCACCTCCTAAGTTCCTCAGCAGTACATCTGAGTTTGACATACTTTCACACCGCACCACAAACTCTGATCTTAATGTTAACTGAAGAAAACACGACTGTCAGACACAACTCACATTCTGAGCTTCACGGACTGCATCTCTACTGGTTTAATGTCTGCTTTAACTTTAACATGATTGTCACCAGGGGGGGGGAATGTGTCAGCCAGCGAGGTGAGACACAGAACACACCACACATGAACATAAGATATATTAGAAATACGTATGTAAACCATGCTTGAACCCAGCACACAGGCTCAAATAAAATACAACCTACACTGAGTGACAGTATAACCTGGGTACATCTAATCATCCTCACTGGTACTGACTGAGCATGCATCTTTTCCAGCAACGTTTACAACAACCAGAAGCTACAGGGTCTCCTCTGGTGGTCTGAGGCTGCCTCGAGTTGATGAGGGAGGGAAATGTGCTTCTCATGTGTTTTTTGTATGTAACAGCTGTTCTCTTGTGTATATACAGCCCCTCTCTTACGGTCTTTACTTTTTTAAATTTGCAGCATAATTACTTATTCTCACTTTATTTTCACTTTTATTGCTCATTTTATGTTCTCTGTGTGTGAACTTTGGTTCCCCTTGCTGCAGCTGACCTTATCTCCCCCGTGAGGATTCTCTCACAAATCCTTTTTACGTGTTTCCTCTGCAGTTACTGAAGAATAAAGCCTACCTCGTCCTAATGATGTGCTTCGGTTTGGGCATTGCTGTTCTCACCTGCTTCTCCTCACTGCTGCAGCAGATCCTGTGTGTGCAAGGATACGACAATGTAAGTACACTGCAGGATAAGACAGCACATTGAATTCCACAGAGAACAGTAAGGTGTTAATTGGACCAATTAGTATCAAATGTAACAGAGAAAGCCTATTTGATAGTTTGTGGATTCACAGTGTACCGTTACACAGTGATAAATGATGCAGTAGTAAACTGTATCAGTGGGGATATTGGGAATAAAGACCATGGATCAATATATAGATTGATTATTTATTTCACAAGTGGGCAAATATTAGTTTTGACAGTATAAAATGATACGTAGTAACTGATGGAACAAAAGGAAAGAAAACAAAGCCTGGTCTTTTACATGCTGGAAGCAGACTGACCGATACTGAACGATCTATAAAATGTCTTTGCCGCAGAGCTTCGCTGGGCTCTGTGGCGCTCTCTTCATCGTGTTCGGCATCATTGGCGCAGCGGCTCTGGGTCTCTACGTCGACAAGACCAAGAAGTTCATGGAAGCCATCAAGATCAACATGACCTTCGCCACTCTCGCATGCATCGCCTTCTCATTGGTGAGAACATAAAGCTCAGCACCCGATGGTGTTTTTAGTTTGTTTAAAGGAGAGTGGACACACTGGCTCCACTACTGAGTGATTAATCAAGGTTGTGATGGCTGACAGAGCAGGAGAACCACAGGAGGTACAAAAGGTTATTAGTTTATTAACTGCAAACTTCTACTTACTATTTAATTAAATGTTTGTATTAATTTAAAGTAACTTAATACTGTCCCATTACCTGAAAGATCCCCTCCAGACATGTATCAGGACTATACACATAGACCTTTTTCACAGCGGCCATTTTGACATGCGATGGTAGGGTAATCACAGGTGTTACAAATGCTACTAATGAAGAGTCCATTTAATGTAGCAGAGCCCTTCCAGTGAGCCAACATGCACAACAACAGCACCCTGACTCTGTCTGAGCTGAATGGAACACAACCTTAAGTCATATCATAAATAGGGAATTCATAAAAACGGGTGAAAGAATCACAGAAAACATCAGATTATAAAGCTTTAGAATATCAAATGGGGTGCAACACTCAAGTCCAAGTTGGCACTTAATTTAATTTAAAAGTTGCATAGTACCCGAAACCAGTTTAATGTGTACACAATGCCGAAAGGTTAGGCAGTTACTGGATCGTGTTCTGTAGTAACCAGATTTAAATGACAGTGGTCAGCCCTGTTGATATCCAGAGCTTTTCTCCTCTCTGCTCTCCTCCTCTCCTCCTCTCAGGTGGCTCTGATACGGGACCAGAAAGTCGCCGTGGTCATCATCTGCTCTGTTTTTGGCTTTTTCGGTTTCTCCATTTACCCCGTGGCCCTGGAGCTAGCTGTGGAGTGCTCGTATCCCGTTGGAGAAGCTACAGTAGCCGGACTCATCTTCATAATGGGGTACTACTCTCTGAGCGCAACATACAGCACACACAGTATACATTATGGCGCATTGTTATGACATAGACTGAACAGGCAGGAGTTGACAAAAACACATTTGAACCCAGATGTTATCCCCACATGTTGGTGTTTCTGCGGAAAGGAAACTGTTTACAGCAGTTTGCATTGAAATTATGTCCTATATTTCAACTAGCACAGCTCAGAATATGTTTAATGTAATAGAAAGTTTAATAAGTACTAGGAAAATGCAAATGAGCTGTGGATTTCTCTAAAAGTAAATGAAACCGTAAATGCTGTTTGTGCTGCAGACTGTACCTATGTATGTGAAATACATGTTGGTCTGACTGGTTCCTTGTGATCTTTTGCAGACAGGTCCAGTCCGTTCTCCTCATGATAGTCTTTCAGGCTTTAACCAAACGGATCGCAGACTCTCCTCTGTCGACCTGCGGGAGTGCAGTCCTGAGCTGGAAGGGTAGGTCACACAATGTTAGACCACTGTGAGCGTCTAACAGAGGCAGCCTCAGTGAGAACCTGACTCACACTGTTAACTCAGAGATTTCTGGGTATTGATGTACAAACTATTTTAAAGCAACATTATGTAGGATTTGGTATTCATTGCAATTTGATGATTTTGCAACAAGACAAGACACCACAACCAGCCAGCTAATATTACTGACTAGCTAATAGCCTCTACAGTCTATTAGGTAACTCTGTAAATCTCAGAGTGGAAGCAGAGCAGCCAGAGGACATCCCAGGGAAACCAGAACATCAACATTTTCTGCATAGAATATGATCCGGCAAACCAAACTCACTGTCAGAGTTGGTGGTGTAGGATTACTGCCATAAAGCCTTACGCTTCACAACCTGCAGCTCAGAGTTACATAGTGCAACAACCGGTGGACGTTGTGTGAATGTTGGCCTGTCCATCATGGACCTGACTTTAATTTTAACACTGGTGCTGCAAGTGTGCTGTCAAGTTGCCACCAAACCTTCAGAGCTGTTTGGTTTGGTTTGGATTTGGGCTCTTTGTCGTCCTTAGCCATTCAGTGCAAATGTATAAAACAAATGGAGAACTAAAAGATGTAGCAGCAGTTGTTTAATAACAACATTATTATTAGTTTCTCTGAGGGTCTGTTATGTTCTATTTCTCCCTCAGTGCCCATGATGCTGATGGCGGGACTAACCACTTTGTTCACGTGCTGCTTCATAATCTTCTTCCACACACGATACAGACGACTGGAGGCCGAGCAACAGGCGACTTACGGGACCAAACAAAGCAACGGCACGACGACCACTGAGAAAGCTCCGAGTGTGGAGGAGTGAGCTGAGAGGCTCGTGATGAGAGAGAGACAGAGGGAATTATGGGTACAAGCACACAGTTTGCTTTAGTGACCTCAAATGTTGGTTTGTTTTAATGAAGACCATATATAGCTGTAACTGTGTGTGAAATAATTAATAATTTTACACAAAAAAGTAGTTTGTTGGGAGAAATCTGGTTATTTTGTAAATAGTTTTTTTTTGCCACTCGTACAAATAGTCCCAGTTTGCTGGGCAGTAGTCCTCTGAACATTCACTGATCATGTGTATTGAAATGATGGTTAGATTCTCTCTGGTCTTGAGACAGTTCATTTTTCCCTTCGCTTACCTTGGATTGAAGTAATGGGAGAGAAAATGAAGAGAGCCCAGACACAGAAGCTGTTTCATCATGTGACAGAGGAGTTGGTGTAACCACATTCCTTCAAGACACCAAATCCACTTGTGTTCCAGTGTTTTGTAGCAGTCCCCAGGGTTTCCCTCAGCAGTCACCAAAGCAAAAGCATCAACTGTTGTACGACTCAAAACACAGCAGGCCTCTGAGCTGCGTCACATTCTTGTCTATTTCTTGCCACTGTGCAGAACTGTGGATCCTTTCCTCTCAGGGACCAAGAACAAACATGATGTTTACTGTTGATGCTTCAGATCACTGAAACAGTTGCTGCCATCAGACTCTGCTGGTGCTGTCTGAAAACACTCTGTGTATTCTGCCCTACAAAGGCAGAGGAGGTGAAGAAAGGCTGGCTGGGTGAACTATGGAACAGTCGGACAGGATGTAATGCCTTCATTTAATGCTTTCAAACTGATTACTCTGGAACAAAACATTAACATAGACCACAGGTAAGACCTAAAAACTGTCAAAAGCAAAGGTGGCAGCTAAGGTAGGCTAGTTACCTTTAAGCAGGTCTAAGTGTTGATGTTCAGTAAAACTGACAGATATTGAATACAGGTAAGGGGGAAAAAGGTAAATTTAGCTTTATCAGCTAGCTGTGTCGACCTCACAAGCTTACTAACTGGACTTGACTCTCTTGCTTTGACTGTTTGGATACAATATGTTCTCTGTGGAATGATCTGTGGCCTTAAACTATTATGTTAAAAAAAAGTCAGATCTGGTGTTGAGTATTTTGATTACATTTGTACTTTCTGCATTTTGGATTTGTAGGGCAGTTTTGTCACACCTCGTCAGGATTCCCACTCTTTTTGAGAAATCATTATCCAGGAGATTTCTTGACAATTCAGGGCAGCACTTGCTAACAGGGGCTCATATAGTTTAGCAGTAAGCCTAGTGTTGGCACATTTAACTCCGGTTGTATTCCTCCTTTTTCTATTAATAAATGAGACACTGCATTCATTTTCAGATTTTTCCGCTGCATTCTCTCCAGGGAATTGACTGTTAACTACAGTTTTCCTCCCACCATAACATTAGTTTGGCCACAGCCCATGAGTTGAAATTAAGTTGATTTTATTTTTCCTTTGAAGAAGTAGAAAGTCTCGGTTGCACATACAGTTTACATTGCTGTACAGGTATTTATCGAGCACAAGATTTTTTTACACTGGGATTTTGTGAGAATTCTGTTCAAGACAGGAAAAAACTAAATATGTGGACGATCCGAGTGAATAAAATAAAATGGATTTATTTAATATTTTTCCAGGACGTGGGAATCGTGCTCATCCTGTTGAACTAAAACCACTATAAAACAGACTGTTCACTAACCTACTCTGAATAAACTGTATTAACCTTACGTGTTAATATGTGGTCTTTGAAAACTACATTGTCGATTTCAGACCAAATACCTGTAATTGAAACTAAACAGTTTCCTGTTTGTCAACAACTGTGAGTAATAACTGTTGTACCACTGATATGGGAAAAATACCCCTAATAACAGCATTTAATGACGTAATTAATTAGTGCAATTAGGGGAACACTGAGGTGTTTTGCATATTAAAGCCACCAAATCAGTTCATTTGTTTTCACAAGTCTAATCAAATGTGACTTCTTCCACTCGTCAGGACCAATAATAGTTTTATTTTTCAAAAGTGGTAAAAGGAGGAGAAAATGGCAGCGCTTGAATGATGTAAATACGGACAATGGCGGACGTGTCTGACCTCACCTCCAGTGCTCTGATCATGTGACACACATCTGGAACAGGAGGTGTCCATTTTAAGTTCTTCCTCAGTTGAGTGTGATAATGATTTTTTATTTTGTAAAGTTTTCTGTTTTAATGCCTTAACGTCAATAAAATGTTACCTCAAGTATTCAGTTCCTTTTCCCTGAGTCTGATTTTTGTCGGGGGGGGGAGTCTTTAAACAGCTGCTTATTAAGGCAGATGGAAAAGCACAGGTGTAACTCTGTTCCAGCAGTACATCCTGGCATTTAACCATCATATTTAATGCTCAAACACCTAAACTTAATGAAGACATTGTGGCACCTTTGCTTTTCCAGCTGGAATTACTACAGATGATCTAAATCTACACATCTGCTGAGAAAAAGGCCCACAGCAAGAACCCTGTGTGAAACACTGCACCTCTTTAAATACACACAGACATAATTCACACATTCCTAAGCATTCATTATTTAGTCAAACTACATACATGTAGATAAAACTGTATGCTCTGGTGTATTAGAACTTAGTACTTGAGAATGTCCATGCTACTTTGTACTTCAGGGGGAAATATTGTACTTTCAAGGCTCTGCACCTACACACAGTTCTCCCCAGCATGTACATCAACATGAGGGTCAATCAAGCTAGAGCTTTGTAAGGAAATATCAAATATATATGTACAAAAAAAAATCTAATTTAGTCTGAGCCCGACCTCCGGTAGGAGATTTGGTCCTCTGTTGGGCCACGTTGGGTTCAATTGGGTTCGGGACAGAATAAAAGCTCTAATTCAAGCACAGCACTAATAGGGCAATATGTGTGTGGCCTGTGTGGGTGGACTGTAGGTGTGCAGGGCTTTAATAGCTACTCGTATGATGCATTACCATTCACTAAAATATAATAGGTGTAATAAGTACTTAGTATTTCCATCTCCACCAGCTACTATATTAAAATGCTTACTCACAATACTTAAAACGTACCACGAGGAGTTTTAAACTGGTTATGAAACAATCTCAATTTAACGCTGATGCCTCTGTATGACCTACATTAACAAACAAGACCATCAGCAAGAAGAGAAGTTATTTCTATGTAGTTATTCTTAATGCCTGCCATTGGGTTGGACTGCCCTTGAAATCAATAAAACGCTACCACTTTTGTCCACAGGGGCCGCCAGAATCAACAGTTCCTCGTTGCTGCTTTAAGTAAATGAGAAATAGGGTGGTGGAGGAGGAGAAGAAAAGACGTGACACAAACGAGCAGGCGGATAAAGACTCTGCAGAGTTTTAATTCTTTCCCAATTCCACATAAAACAAATATAAAAAAGTAGAGCGCTCTCTAGATTCAGAATCAATCCGAGCCAACCTAAAATCTCCTCTCCTATGATCCTTTCACTCCTGTGCTCCGTCTGGACTCAGACAGTTCACACGGTTTTAAAAAGACCCATTCATAAGAATACGAGCAGGATGTAAAAATGAACAAAAGTGAAACTCAAGCAAAAAAAAAAAGACAAAAAAAAGGAACACTACAGCACAGACTATTGTTTGAATTCCTACTCTGAAAGACTCCCTCAGCTGTGGTTGCACAAAACTTCGAATGGCACCAGACACAAACAGAGGTAAATAAAAACAAAACTGTAATGAGGAGATTCTTGATGCAAGAGCTGGTAGTTTCTAATGTGTAGGTTTAGCACAGGTACTGTGTGAACACAAGTACACATTTCATTTGTTAATTCAGCGTGTCAGCGTGTGCGCGCCTCAGAGCTGGAGGGCACAGAACTGCTGGTACACGGCCAGGATGTGGTGGTCGAGCTCCGCTGTGAACAGCAGGTTCTCCAGGGTTCCCATGTACTGCTGGATGGTCACGTGGTGCTGCGGAGAACGAGGAGAGACATTGGGTCATCGAGAGAACTCGCGGGTCAAACGTGCTACTGCAGTGTGTGCGTTTGAGCGTTTTACCATGAGGAAGATCTGCTGCAGCCGCTCGATGCAGTTCTTGTACCAGGGCGTGCTGATGTCCACGCTGCCCGTCTCACAGCGAACCAGGTGCTCCGTCAGCAACATGATGAAACGCTGCGGGAGGGAAAAGGGCATTTAAAGCAGTGCAGACAAATGTTAAAGCTGCACTAAACAGGGCTCATATATGTAGTGATGTCTCCATCTTATTAGCATGAATATTAAAGTTAAGACACATTTTTCGGGAGAGAGTGTGAGAGAGGATCTGCTCAGAACCACCACAGCCTTCACTGGACGAGCTGGGCTCGGACAACGGCTGAGGGACGTCCCTGCAAGATTAGCTCGACCGCTTTGGGTAACTGAGCCGTAAACATCTAAAAATCCCGGCGTGCTTGTGTGAGATTTAGGACTCCCCGCCCTGACGGCCTTCAGTACCTGGAAGATGACAAGGAAGAGGTTCTTCTGTTCGCTCTGAGCGGACTCCACCTTCTCCTGTAGCCTCTCGATCTGCTCCTCCAACTGACCCTCCTCGTCCTCGCTGGCCTTGTCCATGTCCTCGTCGTCACCGCTGTCCCTCTGATGGTCAACAAACGCACACATTAACCCCCGACCAGCTGAATCCATCTGCTGATCACGTCAGGTGCTTTCAACAAATCATTTATAATGTGGTGGATAAACTTACCCTCTTATGCTGCTGTTTCTCCAGTTTGTCCTTGGCCTCCTCCAACTCCTGCTGGATCTTCTGGACGTGTTTGTCCATCTTTCTTATGGTCGAGTGCAGAATCTCCCAGATGAAAAGTCTAGATGAGGAAAGGAGATATTTTTTATTCGACAGAGGCAGGCAGAGAGAAAACATCCATTTACGCCATCTTCCTCATCTGCCCATGTTTAATGTGTTGGTATTCCACACCCCACCTGGTGAACTCATGAGCCATGTCCTGAGAGAAGAGCCAGTTAGCAACAGCGGCGCAGTCCACGACCTGTGTCCGGACCATTTTGTCCACCAACACTGCGATCATCTGTAACGCAGTGAAGACACGTTATGTTAAAACTCAAAATAAAATATATTTTATATATAAACATCCACAACTCTCCATCAATGAATGACAAATGTTTTTCTCAGGCTTTAACTTCTTCACATTTTTTGTCCCATTTGCTGAAAGTGTCACTACATCCTGACAGTAGTACGTGAGACAGATAATCTGTGAAACAATCAGGTTCCTCTGGCTCGTTCTAGTGCTCCTAATGGAATTTGCAAGAATCCACCGGACCTGAACCAAAACAACCAATCAGAGCCGAGAACGATTGATTGTCGAGTCTCATTCTCAGGTCCCAAAGCGTCGGTATTTGACGACCTGGGAAATCAACTATCTTCCTTGGCTCTGATTGGTTGGGGATTTATGCAGATGTCATTAGGAGCACTAGAACAAGCCACAGATTTTCTGTCTCATGTACAACAGTCAGGATACAACGACAGATCCAGAAACTCAGTTAATCTTATTAGTTGTTGTCTGTACCTGCGGGTGATTCTTCCACGCTTCATAAACCACCTTGAGGATGTGCAGCTTCCCCTCGTCGGTGTCTGTCAGGTTCTTCAGGATCTCGTGGAACCTGGAGGAATTGGATGCAGGTGAGTTCAGCAGGTCTGGAGTCATTTGATACAGAACTAGATTGTGTTTGTACTGGTTGACAATTATTTTATATTCATTTAGCATTAAATACTGATTTTATTTAGCTGAGGTTAGTGTTTAGCTTATCTCTGAATAAGATTTTTCATTGAGGGGAATTTATTTTCTTGATTGTGCTACAAAGGCGAGTATACTGATGGAAACTGAAACAACCTGCACATTTGCTATTCTGTATCTTGCTTTACAATTGTACATTTAAACATACATTTATGATTTATCATCTTTGAATTTTTTACCTTTATAATTATTTTTTCACTTGAATGTACCATTTAGCCATGCAGGTGCATCACTGTGAGTGTGGGGGGCCTAAAAGCAGCTTATTGTTTGGAATGAAGCGTCTGATTGAACAGGTTGAGTGTAAATCGTGACAGGATGGAAAAATTATACCTTGTGAACAAAAAAATAACTTAGAATATTACAAAATAATAAGGTTTATATTTATATGTTCTTTCTTCTCTGAATACATTTGCAAATGAACATTTTCCTTTTTTATTTCAGACAGTATTGTCTGGACTTTATTATATATTATATATAATAACAGCTCTACATTTCTGGACTACAGACCAGGAAGCAGCAGCAGTGTATTTAGGCCAATTGCATTTTGTTTTGTGGGAGAGACATCTGAAAAAAGATTTCATGGGGGGGGGACTTACTTGCCGAGGGCACTGAAGGAGTGGCTGAAGGATTTGGCAGCCAGATGGAGCAGAGTCTGCAGGAACACGTCGATCTTCAGGGGGTTGAAGCTCTCGCCCTCGTCTGCAAGGAAAAAGGAGTAAAAGAGAACAAAGTGAGCAGAGTGAAAATGTTTTAATAAACAGTCTGAAATGATGTTTGGGTAAGTCTAAAAAAAAAAAAAAACCTTGCTGATAACAGCTGAATGTCATTCTCATTGAAAAGCAGAGAGCTGCAGTTTTTAAGGTGAACTGACAGAGGTTGGAGCAGTGAGAGGTAATGACTGCAACACAATTTCATATCAAACATGATAATCGAAGGACTCTCAGCCAAACGAATGGCTGTCAACTCTTCCTCTCTGATTGTTGACCTACTTTCATACATAATGCTAAATTAGATTTTTGTATTTTGTCGGGAACAAAGCGGTGATTGGTTCCTACAAGAAAGAAAAAAAAAAACTGAAAAACATCTAACCATCATCATCCTCTTGGTTGGGATTGGGCACTTCTTTGAGGATGGTCAGGATCTCCTCGTTGGAAGCTCGGTTCTTGATGGCGTTTCCGACAGTTATGGATACTGGGTAACCCGGTAACGAAGCTGTGATGGCGGGAGAGACACTGTGTTAGGAACTCTTGTCTAAACGTATGTGCCGGGTACAGAAAGATCCGTGGAACCATTGGAGGCTGACAGCGGAGGATGACTGATATAAACATGCATTATAGCTTTGCTTACAAGAGCTCTCATCTGCATATTTGTAGACAAAGATGGGTTCAGCTGGGATGAGTGCTGAGAAGGTTGGAGGGACAATGTCCACTATCCGCTGGTGGTACGAAAGTCTGCAGGGAAAGGAGCAAACAGACGACTTTCCAGATTAAAAGGATCACAGAAAACATATTTTCAGGGAGAAACGATGGAAAAACCCAAAGTGATATTCAACTTCCTCAAGGGGAAATGTATTAAATACCTCATGCACTTCTCCAGAACCTCTTTGACAAACTTGGGCTTGGGTTTATCTAGATCCACAGCCAGGCAGTCAGACCTTTATAGAGGACACACAATCAAACGGTCTGAACTGTGCAGTTTCTTTCTGGCAACTTAAAACAACAAATAGCTGCTATTAAAGCCCCTCCGTCCATCACAGATTCACTCACCAGTCGTCCCAGCTCCATCGAAACTGGAAGTTGCTCAGATGGTGAGAAAACCAGTTGATTAGTCTGGAAATAAAAAGGAAGTGGAGACAGGATGACAGTGTTAGATCACAGACAGGAATAACTTAAGTTTTTCACTCATGGAGTAAAAGTTCATGTGCAGTTAAAGTACCTGTCTATGCAGGTGGTGTTCATGGTGTCCAGTCTCATGTACAGCATCTCTGTGGCTTGGGCCAGCTAACAGGCAGCTGTTAAGGCAAAGTGTCTTTGAAAGTGGAGACATTTCTCCTCTTTTTGTTTAAACACGGCAGCATAACACCACAAACCCTCAAAACCAGGTTCTGCATCGACACACTCAATAAAGGATACCACTTGCGGCAAGGAGCCCGGCTGCAGTTTGCAGAGTTCAATGAGCAACGTGGTGTACATGACGTCGATGTGAGGCGGAGAGGGCAGCTGGAAGAGCTCTCCAAAGATCACCTGGAAAAAAAGAAAATAAGAAAGGTAGATAAATATTTTTACCCAGCCTTTAAATTAAATTATTAATTAATTCTTATTTCTCATCATTTGGCTTGTCAAAAACATGTATACCTCCACGATGTGATAGTTGAGTGGAATCTTGTTTTTCCCTGGATAGCTAAGTAACTGGGCAGCACTAAAAAGGTTTAAAAAAAAAAAAAAGAGAGAAGAAAAATCAGAAACGTTTAAACATTTAAGTCAGGGTTCACACACAAAAAAAGATTAAAAAAAAGTGTTAGTGACCCACCATGTTTTCCTCTCTTTCCAGTGAGTCTGAATGATACAGTGCAGGTTTTCTTCTATGACAAATCTCTCCACGGAATGGCTGCCGGGCATAACGGGACCCTGAGGATAAAGAGGACAAAAGTTTGTGGACACCGCACAACAGGAAATAACAGGGGGAAAACGCAACGCAAAAAATTATTTATTTCATCATTTTAAGATGCCTATGTGGACTATTGAGCTTTGAATAAAGCTCTAGTTGACTATGGGCTGTCTCCACTCCACAGGGTTAATAGGTTTTCAATATCAACATTGTCTCTACATTAGATTATACGTTTCACACCTAAACCATGAATGTTTACAAAAACAGAGTGCAGATCAGTAACATATTGAAGTGCTTTTCAAAGACAAGCCGTAATGTACCTCTGGGGCATCGGTGTAGTCAAACATGCGGAAGACGACCCGGGGCATGGGGTACTGGGCGTCGGGCATGTGGCCCGGTGGGGTGAAGGGGGGCAGGTTGTGCTGCAGGGCCTCGCAGAGCACGCTGTCAAAGGCGATGTATGGGCGAAGGATGTGGCGCTCCTGCCAGCGGTCTTTCTTTAGCTTCTGAATCTGGGCCCAAAGGCAGTCCAGGTACTAAGTGAAGGACGGGGAGAGAGGGAGTCAGATTTTTAAACACACTGAAAGCGTCTGTAAAGGCCATCACAAGTCTTTTGCAATCAGCTAGGTCAAAGCTAATTATGCATAAAAGGGTGGGTTCTTGCAAAGTCTTTACATTTTAATATCTTGCAAGGTACCAACAAGCTATTCAGGTATGCAAGACCACAGACAATGAAGACCACTTCAACAATGTAGCCCTCACCTCCTCTTGTGGGTGGGGCTTCTCCGCTGTCCACACCTGCAGCATGGGGACGTGTGTCTTTACTCGCCCCCTGGAAATAATGGAGAAGAGCGGACTGATTAAAAAACAAACAGCTGACAGGGGCGACTGAAACATTGAACAAATAACAAGAATGTTAGCAAAAAGAGAAACAGTTAAAGACAGGTGCTGAGACAAATGAGCCGGAAAACAAGTCAGACATCTTACTTGAGGTATCCTTCGATCTGGCTGAGAAGTCGGTCCATCTCAACATCCTTCTTCTCGTAAAGCTCCTTACCGACCCAGGGCAGGCAGGATAACACCACGTACACAAACCAGTCCGACCGAACCTGAGCACACAAACAAGTTTTTCATTTTCACCCAAATGTAAAGTTAGCTGAAGTTAAGGTTTGTCTTGCACATCTGCATTTTACACTAAACTCATTTTCAACTCTAATCAACATTTAGAGGATTTAGGAAGTGAAACATATTTCTGTGTTGAAAACAAAACTTTCTAGTTTTATTGCAGTTGGCCTCGTTAGCTTTTATTATTTATTTTATAATTTTATTTTTTGCACATTTTACTCAAGTTCATGGATCCCTTTATGACTTTAGCATAGTAAACAAAGAGATCACTCCGCCTCAGCCTTCCACCTACCTGTGGTACGTCTTCCTCTTGAGTAACACTGACAAAGTTTTCGAACATGGCCACCATTGAAGGAGCGGCGATCACATGGCAGTTGACCAAGTCAGACAGAAAACGCACCTACAAAAAGGAGAGGACATGGTGTTAAAAAGAAAGAAAGTTGTAAGCAGAATTTTAGCTGCTAATGAAGGAATTAGCCTACCAAGTAAACAGCTTCATTGTACAAGTTGTTTTTCAACGTCTCCTTCAGTTGTCTGATCATGGCCTCCACAAACTCGCCCCCAAAATTGTAGTTCCTGGCATTCAGGAGGCCGACTAAAGTCGTATACACGGTCAGCTTCTCAGGCAGGAGGCGGGCGCTGTCGACACAAAGACGTGAAAGTGTGAAAAAAACGTCGCCGCAAAGGCAGTGATCGGGTCAACGGTAAAAGAGGGAGAACTCGTATGAACTTACACAGCACATAAAATACGCAGGATTTTGTTTTTGTAGTTTGGAAGGTCGGCCTCCAACACGCCTGCGAGGCCCTCCAGGTTGCTCTCCAGGGACGATGTACTCTGTAATCAATAAGGAAGCTATTGGAAACTGATTCAACTAAAAACAGTCTGCACTGAGGGTAGGGTGCCATGTAGAATTAGCATAACAAGTTAATGTAAAGCACTTTGCTGTTAAGTCAGTGATGCCATGCTTTGCTTTTTTGTTGTTGCTATACTGAACACCTTAGAAAAAAAGCTCCTGGTGAATGCCTATAGAGGTAGAGACGGATGCTATTTGGATCAGAGTGAGACAGAAGAAATGAACTCTTTACCTTCTCCCCCACACGACATATCAGCGACTCCAGGCGGTCTTCAATTTCAATGGGCTCCGATGTTCTCCTCCTTTTGTGTGCCTGACCTCCTGGAAGAGTAAACGAGGGAAAAAAATAATCAGAGTGGAATGAGAAACATTAACGCAAGGGCAGCCTTGATGGGAAAATCCACCCTAAAACAGAATCAACACATGGCATTTGTATATTGGTAGCCCAACTTTGTCATTTTAAATCAGTCTCTCCATCATACTTACATATGAAGAGTAAAGAGAAAGAGAACTACTATTGAGCTAACCCTACATCAAAGGCAATGTTCAATCTGTAGTTTTTGGAGCTTGACACATACTGGGAACTCAAAGTCAGGATATCTTATAGATTGTCGTATTATCTTGATTTTGAATATTGTTTTTGTTTTTTTAATCTGTCTCTTTTGAGACAATTTCTGGAAGTACAATCCTAAAATGTTGGAATATCCCTTTAAATGAAATAACCAGTGTGGTGATGATGCTCTTTAGATATATAGTTCACCCTTGAGAAGCTGCATAGACAGTGAATAGTGTAACAGTTCATACAGCAGACTGTGAGTGAATGACTTTACCGGCACATGTAACTTATAAATGTGTCTCAACAACCCATTACAATTAAAATAAAACCTCAGAGTCATTATCAGACTATAACTGTAGCTAACGTGGTTAGCTCAATGTGGCTACATTCGGTCTTACGGTGGAGTTCCGCTTTAAGTCCTAATCAATAAGTAAACTTTTAACCAGCCTTACCACCGTGGATCACAATCAACGTTACCGTATTCTGAGAATCACTCGGTTACCGCCCCCATAGCGACCAGCTACACGGATAACGGTAGCTAACCCAGCAGCTAGCGGTAACCGCGTACCGGTTCATTCTTCCGTTACTTGGACAGTCTGCTCCACCTCCTCGCTTCCAAACCACGATTCCGAAAACAAACCTCAGTTCATAATAAAAGTGTTCTGCACGTTTTGGAGAACATTGACGAGACTAACCCCCGTCCTCGTTAAACAATGTAACGTTATCAATCAGCATCATGCTCAAGATTACCGTAACCACAAACACGCTAACGTTAGCTGGGCCACCGCTCGTCAGCCTAACGTCTGAACTAACGTTACTCCTCAACGGGCACTTACCGTCATTCTCGTCGCTGTGTCGTCTCCTGGACATGTTTCACTCGCTATGTAAGGTAAGGTAAGGTAATTGGACGAGGAAATGAATATGAAACTAAATAATAAGTCGGCTACACAAGCTTCTAGATCATTCAGCTTGGCCGCTACTAGTGCAGAAAAATAATAGCGGTCGGATTCAAGTGAGGCACATCCGGGGCAGTCGGGGGTCAACCGGAAGGTGCTCCCTCCCTTTTCTCCCGATGTTTACTGCTGGGGGTTTCTGCTGCACGTTTGGTGATAGTTGGATATGTAAAATGTATACATTATTACGTTTAAGACTATATATTTAATGTTTTCCAAGATTAGGTCAACAGTGAATGTCCTAACGATGTATTACTCATACATGTTCAAACCACAAAGCGGAAGAAGCTCCTTCTAAATTTTAAGAATTGTTCAACTTAGCTTAAGACTGGTTCCCTGCTAACTCAGTTAAATATATTTTAAAAGCTGTTTAAAAAAAGATGGCAGAGGATAATACACCTTGCTCGGAGTTCATGGACTGGGAACTTAACTCTTCGACATCTAACATGAACGGCCTAAAACAGGAGAAACAACTGTCTGCCTCACAGAGAAGGTACTACAGCTTCTGCAGGAGGAAGGTGAGTGACAACAAACACTCAGCATCTCGATGTATGATGTTATGTGGCCATATTATACTGCATGTAATGTTATATGTTATGTTAATGCACATTTTATATATATATATATTAGTCAGTAATAGCTCAAGTCAAACTTACTGGAATTCAGTTAGTATTCATTAGTTTTTGTAACATGTATGTCTATAAATTATGCTGAATGTAGTAGTGTCATGTTAAGAATAAGAATAGTAGACATTAACTTATATGTAGGTGGCAAATCCTTTAAACTAAAATTTAAGGGACTGTTAAATAAAATGTTTGTGTATGTAATTGCATTATGTAAAGATATCTGCTGGTATATTGTCATTGGATTTTTTAAAAACTCAAATATCAATATTATGTTGTCAAAAACATCAGTATCTGTAGGGCCTATATTACAATTAATGACCTTTACTGTTGCATATAGTTTATCTAAGCTCAGTGGTTCCCAACCTGGGTATCTAAGTGACTACTAGAGTTATAAACAAGAAAAAAAATTCTGCTACCCAAAACTATGTTTATTTTTCAGATGTTTCACAAATCTTTGCTTTGTTTTCCTGTGAATTCCTACTTAGATTTATGACATTTTCATTCCTAATGAAATTATTTAAGTAAAAAACAATCGAAGAAGGCAACATCAGTCATTGATTGAACTGACAAATAACCTTTTGATGAGGGTCGCAAGTAAACATGGCTTTCTATTAGGAGTCATAAACAACAAAGGATAAGAACTATTATGTAATCTGTTTTTATTGTTTGAACACATTTGACAATACATTTTTTTTATTTGAAAAACGATTTGATTTGATTTTGACTTTGCCTTATTAAAAGCACTTCATGCTTATTCTTCTCCACAGTCCTTTGGGGCCTTTGTGGCGTCCAAGAGGGACGGCTGTCAGGAGGAAGGAGGCTCATCTTGGTGCTGCTGTGGCCAGACCTTCAAGGAACACTCTACCGTTCACAAACATGTGGCCAGGTCTCATGATACTGAAATACGGCAGCTCACACAGGTCACATATGAGCATTTGTTAAGCCAGCTGGAAGAGGAACCCGAAACGCAGCCGAATGGGCGCGAGGCAGAGCCAGTGGACATTTCTGCATGGATACCTGAGACTGGTCACATCTCTGAGGAACAACTTCAGAAGTAATGGTCAAACTTTGATTCTCCCCTTCCAAGTTCAGTTTTCTTGCCATCCACGTATTTGAGCTTGGAATTTGTAAAACATTAATTTTTATTTCAGATTTTTTAATATACACTGATGTCTCTAAATGATCTCTAATTCTTCTTTTCAGGGGTCCAGGGAAGGTTCTCCTATATTATCACTACTGTCAAGTGGAGGATCCACATGCCATCTGTGCTTGGCAGAAAGCTTTGTGTGAGAAGCTCCACTTAACTGGCAAGGTAAATAAATTATCTTATCCTGCCTTCAACTGAGAGACTGCAGAATGTTCACATTAGGGACAGACTTTGAAACATGGTTCTAAAATTGTAAAAAAGGAAGGAATGTCTGACTCAGTTTACCTGTCCCCTTAAAGTATATCACAATCATCTTCTTCAGGTGAGGGTGGCGACTGAGGGCATCAATGGGACAGTGGGTGGCACCAACATGGCCACTGACGTTTACATCGAGGCAATGTGTTCACATCCTCTCTTCAAGATGGACAAGGAGGATTTTAAGGTCAGCATCTCACGTTGGTTGATATATACAGGCTCAGTGTTCCACTGGTTGGCCACAGCCTGAGTTTAAAGCCTATGTTTTCTGAGAAACAACTGACATAATGTCAAAAATAATTAAATAATTTATTGCACTAGTGCCTATTAAAGAGTTTTGTCCCTGTATTTGTGTGTGGTTAGTTAAGTGATGGCGGCGCAGAGTGTTTTACAGACCTGAGGGTCGGGGTCTATAAGGAAATCGTCCCAATGGGCGTGGATCCTGATGTCATCTCCTACCGACTGGCAGGTATAGTTTGTGTAAACAACAATACTACCAGCAACGCTATTGCCTATAACTGCATATTTTTGTTTGTAAATTCATTTCATCATTCATTTATTTTGATATGTTTCCTGTAAGAAGTTCTGTTGTGTAAACAGCTGAGTTGGTCATGTTAGTTACATCAGTTCTTTGCTCGCAGGAGTTCATCTGGAGCCAGAGGAGTTTCATAAAGAAGTGGAGGCTCTTTTGGCTGAAGGGGATTTGTGCAACGACACCATCCTCCTGGACTGTCGTAATTTTTATGAGAGTAAAATTGTAAGTACTGTATGGACAGATTCTAAAGGCTATATTAAATCCTTTGTTTATTTTACACTATTTGTGTTACACCAGCTGCCTTTAGAACCACAACAGAAGTACCACTGGTACTGAAGTGGAGTTTTGATCATCTTTGTATTAAGTAGAAGATGATAGTATTTTCTGTTGAACTGTTCATTTAAATGTCCTTGAGGAAGCTGTTGAATTCCTGCTAGATTCACTGGTGTTTTTTCTTTTTTTTATACCGTCAGTTTCCACATATTAATCATAATCAGACAAGACAAAAGCCACGTTGCAATATTTGATTGTGATTATCTTTTTCCTTCAGGGGCAATTTACTCGCTGTCTGGCCCCAAACATCCGTAAGTTCAGCTACTTCCCGGACTACGTGGACCAGAACCTTGAACTGTTCAGGGACAAGAAGGTCTTGATGTACTGCACAGGAGGGATCCGCTGTGAGCGCGGCTCCGCCTACCTCCGCTCTAAAGCAAGTTGACATGTCTCGGACGTTAACTAAAGAATGGACTCTTATTGAGTGTTAAGCAGCTTATGGAACTGGCTTTGTCCTGCAGTAACCCACAAGGGGGAACTGTTTAGTTATTGTCTGCTTGTGTCCTCGCCCCAACTGTTACTGAAAGCAAATTGTTAATGAAAGTGCAACATTATTTTATTTTGCCTGCCCCACCTGTAGGATGTGTGTAAAGAGGTTTACCAGCTCAAAGGTGGAATCCACAAGTATCTGGAGCGATTCCCAGAGGGCTTCTATCGAGGGAAACTTTTTGTGTTTGATGAGCGCTACGCCATCTCCTCCAACGACGACATCATCTCAGGTTAGTGTGTGCACAAAGCACGTAATCAGTAGGTTGAATAATATAAGGAAAACATGAATAAACACTAAGATTTAGTTGTCTAAACATTATATAATTGTGTGTCTGTTCAGACTGCAGGTACTGCCGCTGTCCCTGGGATCAGTATGAGCTCTGTTCCACCCAGTTCTGCTGTCAGCTGGTTCTGTCCTGTCCCAGCTGCAGACAGGACGGACACACCGCCTGCTGCCCAACCTGCCAAAGCAAAGGACAGGCTCACAGCGAGGCTTCCCCCGCCGTTCCACATCACAAAGAGGAGTGCGAGTGTACTGGTGGACGTCCCAGAATCCCTCAGGATGTTTAGTGACAGAGAGGTTAATGCTGCCTGTTCTGGGATATTAATCAGAAAAAAACTGAATTTGTGGAAGGTGTCCAGTATATTTTAAAGTCATTAATCTTTTTATATGATTGTTGAGGATTAAGTCAGATTTACTGTATTCTTAAGAGAGGATCATTAATGAATCGGATAAAACGGTTTATTCATCTTTTATTGACAAAATGTAAGAATATATCAGAATGCATGAGTTTTATTATATTTTATAATGTTGTGAAACTGTAATGCCTCATCAGTAATGAAAGCTCAGTTCCCACGAGATATGAACTTGAGTGTGTGCTTGTTTGTGTAAAAAATGGGATTTTATCTTTGTTTCCAAATCGTTTTTGAAATGCTTTGGAAATGATTGTTGTTCATTTTTTATTAGTCCCAAATGGTAATGGTTTCACAGACAACTTTAAATTGAACTAAGTTGCCTTACATGGCTCGAACCAGAATTAAAACATTTCAGGACGCACTACGGAGAAATAAAAAGAGTTGAAATCATATATAAGTGAGGTAAAATAAAAGAGAATAAACTACCCCCATCAGTAAAAATAAATACTAACCATAAAACTGTTAAACATATTGCAAAATTAACCACTGGGGCAAATAATTTAAACAGGTAAAAATAAGAATAAAAAATAAAATAGCCATATTGATATCAGGCAACAGGCTACAGAGGTAGAAAAGAACTGTTATATAGCATATACTTTACAATATCTTAAGGCCACAGACGTTATTTGAGCATTGTACAAATATCTTTGCGAATACATATGTGCAGAAAACAAAGAGAATAGGTTGTAATGAGACTTGGTGTATAGACATTTAGGTATCTCTAGTGTATGTAATAAAATCTGTATTGAATATAACATATATAGAGAGTTGTATAAATAAATACAGAGCCTGTTTTCAATGAAATATACAATTGGTACATTCAGTAAATGAACTTGCATAGAACATCCACTAGAGGGAGTGACAGGACCACAGCCAGGAGTCCGTTAAGCTCCTCAACATCCCGACTGGAAGCTTCAGCTCACAGCCGAGCGGACCTGGCCAGGCTGCCCGGGTCTTCACTGACCAGCAGCAGCCTCTCTGCCGCATTTCTGTTGTGAAACCAGGCTTTGGGTCAGTGCAGCTCATGTGTATTTACCCGCCCGTGTGACTGTGGGCATAAGGACGGGAGGACCGAGCGATGTCTTCGCCGGGTTTTACAAACCTGAACAGCTCCGTCAGCTACAGCCAGAACTCGACGCCGAACGGTGGAGCTGCGCCCCCCTTCCAGAATGGTACAGCAGGCCGGAGGATGCGATTAGCCGGCTCGATAGCGTTAGCACGCTAACCATCTGTTGTGTCAGTTAGTTTGTCAGCCGTGGATTGTTTCCTATTGTTGTGTACCACTGTCCTCTGGTGTTAATTATAATAGCAGTATTAAGTATGAATTAGGGTTCGAGTGTTTCAGCTAAAGGTAAGCTGCTAACACAAGCTAACTTAAGAGCTAACGTAGACACTGAGGACACAAGGAGATAACGGCTAACATTTAACGTTAGCAGTTAAGCTAACGTAAAGCGATAGCTAAGTGTTAGCAATATAATAGCTGTGTAACAGACTGCGCAACAACATTTTATAATGTCCGCTTTATATTGAAGTTCTGACAAACAAGCAGCCGATGAAATTCACACAGAAATAATGAACTTTTTATTGTTGGCTTCTGCTGTGCTGTCAGGGATGTATATTCAGCTGAGAGCTAACGAGGTATTAACCCTGACTGCTGAAGAAGCTTGTTGTTTGCAGCTAATGATTACCTCTTTACACTAACTTTATCTGGGAGCTTTCTCCTGCTGCCTTGTCGGTAGAAGTAGAATAGACATTTTTGACACTAAGCTCATTGAACATGCACTTTACCACCCCCACCCTCTTTCCAGGTCCAGCACAGACATACCAATCCATGTATCCACCTACAGGCTGCTATGGAGCCCCACCTCAACAACAGAGCTACCCCACCATCCCTGCCCACTCCACTCCTGCTCCCCACAAAGCACCCATTACGAACAGTGCCCACAGTGCTAACTACTACCAGAGCAACCATCAGCAACAGCAGCACCATCATCAACTCCCTCAGCATCATGTAGCACCCTCCCAATACAGTGCTCCCTCAAGCTCTGTGCCTCCTTCTCAGCCACATCCCACCCTCCACTCTTCAGTACCACCACCATCAAATGCCCAGTACAACCAGCAGCAGCATCCACCGTATGCTACCCCAGGATCCTACTATGGACAGCAGTCATACCACTCTCAACAACAGCAGCAGCAGCAGCAGCCCAATTTGGTGCCTGCGCCAGCTGGCGGCCCTGGAGCTCCTCTCTACCCAATTGTTTCGTACCCGTCTGCACCTGGAAGTAGTCAGTACGGCACCCTCAGTTCCTCCCAGAGCACCTCTGCACCTGGGGTCCCACCCACCCAGATGGGTGCACCTCTACATCAGTACAGCACCTCTCGGCCAGCCCCCACAACAGCGGTGCAGCCTGGGTACAGTGTGGCTCCAACTAGTCAGCTTGGGCCGACAGTTAATGGTCAAGGAAGCACAGGTATGTGTGAACAGTTGATTTATTGTTGATTTATGTTGAGGCTGGTCAGCTGCTGTTGCAGAGGCATGTATACTAGCTGTATTGGTCAATATCCACTGTAAAAGTATCAGTCGAATACTTTGCTGCCAACTCTTGGATGGTTTTGAACTTTGTGTTTGTTTTTCGTGTCACTTGTAGCTTTCAGATTTTTGTGTCATAGTCTTCTCTGTCAAATACCTTTTTAAAAAGGCACGTTTAAAAGGTGTAAACTGTTACACAACCCTAAGGACAAGAGAGGAGTTTGTATGAGCTAGTATAGGTATGAAAAATCATCAAAAACACACTGGTACACACGAAAAACCCCAAACGAACCATTCAGTATTCATAGAAAGTTAGTTGTAGAGTTGAGAAGACTGCCAGCAGTCAAAAGTCTTTGACTACTTTTACTGCTGTTTGTAGTTCTTGTAGTCAGATCTTTGCTTACGCAGACTTTCATTCTCCTGTTTGTTCGTTGTTTTTCTTTCCAAATCACAGTCCACCAACACTATGACCAAAGCCACCAGGCTTCTCTGAGCTATGACTCCTACGGCAGGGTCACTCACAGCAGTGGTGGCGCAGACGCAGACCGACCGCCCTCAGGAACGCCCTCCACTTCTGTCCATTCCTCGCCAGGCCACCACCAAGGTAACACAGAGATTATCATTTGCATTATTTTATTCAAAACTCTGACCAAAACACACAAAAAGATAAATCAGAATTGTCACTGCTCTTCAGTGCTGCTTGTGGTGATGAAAGGCAGCATGTAAAGTTAGGTTATAAATGTTTCAACATGTTGTTTCCCTGCTTTACTTTGGTGTTTTAACATAAGATCATTATAGGAGAAATGACAGCTCGTGCTTTAGCTGTGGTCTGGTTTTTGTCTATTCTGGTGCAAATTCTTCAACGAGCCTATGTTTAGAGTCTGAATGTTTGAAATCCTGCTCTAAATTTACAGTGCAAGAAGTGTATGTGAATGGTTTACATGTTCACAGCTGCACTTTGGAAATTTACCACACGTAATCTGTTTCACAAACACACACTGTCAAATGTGCAGGTGTGAGTATCTATACAAATTTGAGGGTTTCAGTTTGGAACTGCTGGTTCATTTTGCCTGTGACCTGTGAATTTTTCCACTGACAGCTTAGCAGGTTAAGACCAAAGGACTCTTGCACCTGCATTTAATCATACTATGAGTTGCAAAAACCAATTGACTTGGAAGCTTTGCATAGTTTCACTACAAAAAAAAAAGCACATCTCATTGAGGGCCAATAACCACAACATTTTTCTAGATTTTTCACACTCTGGCTGGTAAAATGTGTGCTTAAATCATTTTCCTCTGTCGCAGTTCTATATTAGCCTCAGGCAAGAGAAAACATGTTACACAACAGCAAGAGAAAAACAGCACCAACAAAGGACACACCTCTCTTATAGGCTTCTATTAAAAGGCATGGTGTGTTGTTGCAAGCATTTAAAAGGGTTAATCTGTTTTAAATAAAGTAATTTGATTGTTTTTAGCTGTAACGGTGATGATTGTGGTTGTTGTGGCCAGTTATTGTGATTTAATTCAAATATGTTGTGATATTGTGACACACTCCATTGATACCTGTGAAAACAACTTTGGGCATTAACATATCTGAAGGTGCTCCATTAAGTTTGACACACCACACTTAAATTGTGTGCACGTGTAAGTTTTAAGTTGTTAGTGGCCTCTAAAATGTTTCTGGTTTCATATGTAGACGTCGATATAGAGTTACCGTGTTGCAAAACAAGTTGTGAATGTCACCATCTCTCAGCGCCTCTTTCAGTATTGCTGGAGGGTCTCTAACTCTCTAAAGATGAAGCAAAGATCACACACACACACACTCACACACACACACACACACACCACGTGGAGTTTACTTCCTGGCCACTGCCCTGTCTTCTGTCAGTCACCCAGTCGTGACCATTTTCTTTTGTACCTTTCCCACTCCCCCCTTCCAACAGGCGTGCAGTATGGATATGTTGCTAATAGTGGCGCTAGCTCTGCCTCTGCCACCACCTCTGGCCCGGCCGCAGCCCCCTTGTCATCCAGCTCTGAGGATGATGATGATGATGAGGAGGAGGATGAGGAAGCAGGTCTGCTTTAGCATTTTCCTCCCCATAACCTCTTTTAATACCCCTTCTTCCATCCCCATAAACTCCTTCATCTCTGTCCTAAACCTTCCCACACCCACGTTTTGTAACCCTTTAAAAGAAAACTTCACCCATCATTTTTACCATTGGTGCGTTTCCATCCCCTACCTATACATCTTCCTCCTTTGTGTCTGATGGCCATCTGTCACTTCTGCTCCACCTACAGTAACAACCTGCTTAATCAGTTTGCCGCTTATCATTCGTACCTTCCCCTTTCTAATAAGCTAATCAGATTTTTTCCTCTCCTTCCCGCTGCCTCCTCATCAGCTTTCCAAAGTTCACCCAATGCTCACTATCTTTCTCCCTCACACTCATCAGTACTGGCACCGAATCATCTTTAAAATCAGTGTATACTCTGCTCTGTTGCTCCCATCACCGAAAACTGACATGAAATTTTGTCTCTGAGGAAGGTGAAAGGTAAGTGGGTTAGCATTTCGGTTTATCTCTTAAAGCGTCTGCCAGGTTCTGCTTGTCTTCATTGTCATGCAGTGGAAGGAGTCATCC